GTGTGTGTGTGTTGTTGTTGTGTGTGTGTGTGTGTGTGTGTGTGTGTGTGTGTGTGTGTGTGTGTGTGTGTGTGTGTGTGTGTGTGTGTGTGTGTGTGTGACGGACGGTTTGCACTGCGCGTGCAAGCCTTCTCCACCTCCGATCTTCTGCTCACACCCTCCTTACCCTCCCTCCCTTCTTCAAACCTCTTGTTGACTGTGCCGCCTCCAGGCCTGAACGGGCCCAAGGAGATTGCCGGCTGGATGCGCGTGAATCAAAAGACAGACGTGTGGGCGTTTGGCGTGCTGATTGTGCAGATGTGGGATGGCCGCCAGCGCACGATTATGCCAGACGGCGTGTTTGACTACATTGACTCCTCCCTCTCCCCCGAGGAGCAGCAAGCAAAGGCCCAGGACACAAAGTACTGGCCTAACCACCTGGAGCACTGTTTCAAGAGGGGGCAGCCCTACCTTCTGTTGCCGCCCATGCCCGCTACGCTGTATGATCTCGTGAACAACTGCCTGCAGGGGCCGATCAAAGCGCGCCCGGCGAGCAGCGAGCTGGAGGGCCGCCTGGATGCCATTGAGGCACAGCTGGGCGTTGCCACGAAGCCCAAGGCAGAGCACACGCTCATGGACCTGCTGTACACGCTGCCATTCTTTCAACCGGGCTCCAAGACCAGCGATCCGCAGCCGGCTCGTGTCAGGCCACCCACCCCTGACAGCCCTGCCCCGCCCAGCGCTGTCGTGTCTCTTGCCGACGACCCCGCTGCACGCCCACGCGGCCCCGTGATTGATTTGGGCAGCGTTGGTGAAACCCCCATCTGACGTGTTGGAAGGGGGTGTCGTTGTGATGCATCTGTGCGTGTGTGATTGTGTGATTGTGTGTGCGTTTGTGCATGTGTGATTGTGTGTGCGTTTGTGATTGTGTGTGCGTTTGTGCGTTTGTGATTGTGTGTGCGTGTGTGTTTGTGTAATTGTGTGTGCGTTTGTGCGTGTGTGATTGTGTGTGTGGTGTGATTGTGTGTGTGGATGATGATGCGCGCCTTTCTCTCTCTTTCCCGCACTGTGTGTCATGCTAGTGGTTTCTTCGACGTTACGTCTGCGACCGCAGCACCGTTTCACTACTTTGTCGCGCTGTCGTTCCGTTGTTGCGCACTCCCTCCTGTTACATTATGCACTGCTTTCCTGTTTTTCCCGCCATTTGTTCTCTTGCTCTTGTGCGGCGTGAGATGTGATTGTTAATCCTAATCCTGTTCGTTATCGGGGCCTCATTGACTTAACCCCCTTTGTTTTTCTCCTTGTTACATCGCCGCTGCGTGCGCACATGCGTCCATGCGTGCGCGTTTTGTTATTGACGAAGCCGTTTCTGGCTTCTTGCTCTTTGCTGGCGTCCACAGTTTGCACGCCCCCCTCTTCTTTGTTCTTCACGTTCACCTGATGCGTGGCATTACAGTTACAGTTACAACAGCGGATTGGTGGTGTTGATTGCTTGGGGAGGGGGTGCTGTTGGTGGGTGGTGGCACGTTGTTGTGGTGCTGGCGCTGTTCTCGTTGACGATGCTTGTTACAATGCCATCGAATCGTGCTCCAAGAATAACCGCTAATTTTTTTTGCCACAGCCACTGCCAACAAGCGAGCGGCTGGTGAAGGCGAGCAGCGACAATGGGGCTGTGCAAGTGCCGGGTGGTGACCTCGCTGTTCTGCTTCCAGCACACAGAGAACGTGTGCGAGAACTGCATCGTCAAGGACCACAGAAAAGTTAGTGCCTTCGTGTATGTGCGTGTGTTGGGGGGGGGGGGGGTTGTGAGCTTGCGAGAATAGGTGATCGCTTTTCCACAACACGAGGCGACGAGATACAGACTTTGCTGGCCGTTATTTTGGTTGTTGCGTGCTTGCTGGCTGCGACTTGCTTCACACGGCACGCTGCGCAGCTCACACCACATGCTGGCGTACCTGTGGGTGGCATGTACATGCTGTATGCCACTTTTCTGCCACTTACTATGTGACATTAACGTGTCTCGTTTTGTTGTGTATGTGACAACAGTGCATGATCAAGTCGTACTTGCAGTGGCTTCAGGATGCCGATTTCACCACAAAGTGCACCTTGTGTCAACAAGAAATCGACAACGGCGAAGACACCATCAGATTACCTTGCTACGGTGTGTGCCCATGTGTGTGTGTGCGTGCGTGCGTGTGTGCGTGTGCGTGCGTGTGTGCGTGTGTGTGAATGTGTGGGTATGCGTGTGTGTCCTGTTGTTTCCCTGCGTGTCACCCTGCTGGTGGTCACCTTGTCGTTCGCTGTGGCAGATGTGTTTCACATCAGATGCATCAAAAACTACGTGCTGAGCCATGCCGCGTCACTGGCAGACGCAGACCTCAAATGTCCACAATGCCATGTGGGTTCTTCCATGCGCTGAACAACTGCACGCGCCCTGCCAACGCCTGATCCCATGTGCAGGCGACGCCTTGCATCAGCCCCTTGCTGTGCCTTTTTTTTGTTCATCTTCAGCAACCGAGCTCACATGCCTGTCTCACTGCACCCGTGTGCTTGCGCTTGTGCTGGTGACGATGATAGGCCGTGATGGTGCCGGATGCACACAACATGTCGCCAGTGGCTAAGGAGGCCAGAGAGCTCTTGCAACCCATCCTGGCCAAGCGAGGGAAACCAAAGGAGGTTGGTGTGTGTGTGTGTGTGTGTGTGTGTGTGTGTGTGTGTGTGTGTGTGTGTGTGTGTGTGTGTGTGCATGTGTGTGTCGGGAAAAGAAGGATTGCGACACCGCCCTTGTGTTGACGGTTGCGCTTTGTGTTGAAGCTGTTGGACTTGCTTTCCTTGCCGTTTTACTCACGTGCGCGCCTTGGGCGTGCTTCTGGTTCGTGCAGGCGAGCGTGATATCCATGCCGCAAGGCAGCACGGCAGCAGCACCTGCAGCGGCTGTGCGAACAGCGTCGCCACCTCCCCAGCACAAAATCACAACTTCGGGGCCGTCCCACCTCTCGCCCATGAAGCGCAGGTGCGCCATGTCATGTGTGTGTGTGTGTGTGCGCGCGTGTGTGTGTGTGTGTGTGTGT